ACCATGCAGATATGACTACAGGATTATCATTGACTTCAGAAGCCTCACGAAACATTGTTTTCGAGGGAAATTTTAAATAATCTTTTATGGAGGATGTGCTAGTTTTCTCCACAGAAACTTATTCCTTCTTTAAGTTGATGCTTGCATCAGGTACAGTCTCTACCAATGTTTCATCTGGGAAGTTTAATCTGTAATATTCAAGCTCTGCTTCCAGATCTTGTAGTTCTTTCTCCTTTTCTGCCAGAAGATCATTAGCTTTCTCCAAGGCATCTACACCGTATTCTGCTTGCTCTTCCATCATCATTAGGTACTGCAGGGCCTCCTAGTGGAAGGCTGCCTTCTCTTCTTACAACCTTGCAATCATAGCCATTGCAATTGCAGAAGCACTTCTTTCTTCCTCTAATTCCTCATATAATGCATTCATGCACATCCGATCATACTCAACTTGCTGCTTCAGCCTATCAACTAGATTTTCACCTTCAATTTCATTGACGCTGCTTCCATCCAAAGATTCGAGGCCAGCAGATTCATTTCTTTCCATAAAGACTAGGTTCTGAAGATTCTGTTCAGAATTGGATTCATTAGTTCTCGGCAATTCAACGCTATGACCTCGTAACTTAGGACTTAAATTGTTCGGTGATAAATGAATCCCTTGTCCTTAAGAATTCTGCACGGGTAATGACTTAAGATCTTCATTAACTCCATTATTGTATGCCATCATAGGTTGTTTTGTAACACAACCAGATGTGGTTTGTTCTTCACCACAGACTGGTAACTTACACACAGCACTCGGATCCCCATCAGTTGAATTTACCATGGCAGTATCATCTTCAACTCGATCAGTTTTGAAACCAGCTGCAGTTGATGTGCTTATCAACTTTGGGATTTCATCATTCTTGTTAATAGAAATATTTTCACTTTTACTTGCTTCAGAAACATCTACCACCGGAAACCATATCAGATATTACCTCATATAAGATGAGACCTACACAAATAAACAAATAAAATACAAAATATATATATATAAAAAAAAAAAAAAGCTAAAAATTGTCACGGCTCAGCTTAATGGATTAACTGCTCGGCTCGGCGGCTCGCAGGATGGCTTGGCTCAACCGGCTCCACAAGGGAAGCGGGTCATGGACGCAACTACTAGGTCGGATCCGGGAACGGGTCGACACGCAGACACTTAGAAGACCCGATCCTCAAAACAACGTCGTATGTTTAAACTATAAAAAACCAGATTTTTATTTTCTTTCACTTTTCCGATTTCCCTGTGTCTCTAGCCCTGTTTCTCTCCTACTTCTCTCTCTAACCCAATTTGAATGTCGGCCAGATCTTCAAGCCAAATCCAGAAAATCGGGCTGCCCTGTCGACGGCCGTCAGCCACCGCTTGTCAGTGTCTGTTTATCTCCAAATATCACCGAATTGTTCCTCGTCACCGCCTCTTCACCGTTTTGAACTCGGATTATGCAAAAAAAGAAGTCTCCAACCGTCTAGATCTGAAGCTATATCCGTGGCCTTTCCACCATAGTTTCACCCCCTTCTCGCTGTCTGATCTGGCTGATTTTTCAAAATGTTGCTTGCCTTCCTTTTCTCTTCATTTCCACCATTCAGATCCCCAAAAGATCACTAATGTCGTCAACCGTCATCGTTGCCGTCAGCAGCGGCTCCCATTATCTTCAGTCAACGCTGGCAGAACCCAACTACTCCAACAAACCTTCCTAACTACTTCTCCACTAACTATTGCCCGAAAAGCCTAACATCTAAGCCCCAAGCTCAAACTCGCAGCCAGAGTTATTTCCTTAGTTTTGTTAGACTGTTCACTGTATTGTGATAATTGTGGATGTGTTCCTGTCGATTCTGAATTTCTGTATTGCGTGGATTTGTTGGTAATTGCGTACTTAGCTGATGAATTGTGGCTTTTTTGTTCGGGTTTACGTTAGGAAAGAGGGTTTTGGGTAAAAAAGAATTTCATTCCTGCAGTTTTTAACTCGATTAGCACTTAGCCACTTTCATCCAATTTTCTTCTTTTTTAAAAAAAGAAAGAAGAGGATTTATTACAAGAAAAACAAAACAAAACAGAAAGCAACGAGCTTCAGGTAACATAAAATAAATAGTCTGTAACAATAATCTAAACCCAATTAAAAGTCTAAATTTCATTGATGGACCAGAAACAACTCCTTCAGCCCCGAACAAAACAGGGTCTCGACAGCTAGGGAAACTCTCCCCTTTCCTCAACCTTGATGGGGAGGCCACCTTTCATCTTAGAAGTCAGATAAACAAGAAGCTCCGGCTGAAACCCATCCTCCACCGTCGGCACCACCTTGAATCGCCTTAGAACAGCAGCCACTATCCTTTTCATCTGCAAGAACGCCATCTCCTTCCCCAGACAAATCCTGGGTCCTGCCTGGAACACTGGATAAGTATAAGGATCTCTCCCAACAAAGATCCACTTCCCTGTCTCATCTCTCTCCAGCCATCTCTCTGGCTTGAATTCTGCCCAATCTGATCCCCATAGCTTCTCCATCCTTCCCATCGCGTAAGGATGATACGTCACTAACGTTCCTTTCTTTACCACCGTCCCGTCTGGCAAAACATCGTCCTCCATTGCCAGTTTGCTATCCATCGGGACTGGAGGGTACAGTCTCATGCTCTCGCAAAGAGAAGCATGAGTGTAGACCATGTCTTTAACTTCCTCAAACACTGGCATATTCGATTTCTCTTTGATTTCTTTGAGAATTTCTTTTTCAACTTCAGGGTTTTTGTATAGTAACCAGAAAAACCATGTCAAAGCCGCGGATGTTGTGTCACGGCCAGCAAGTATGAAGCTGATTACTATATCCGTAGCGAAATTCTCGTCTGAATGGCCTGAGCTCAAGAACCTTGATAAGAGATCAACCGATTCCAAAGAGGACTTATCAGCTAGTTCTTGTTTCTTTTCCTTTACAATCTTCTTTGCCAACTCACGGACTTGAGAGACTGCAATCTTGAGTCTTTTCTCTGATCCAACATTGAAAAATCGCTTGATTTTCCAAGTTTTATTAAGGAAAGCACGGAATCTTTCGCTACTTATGTGAGCAGCATCTTCAAACGCTTCTGCAAACTGTGCCTGCGGTAAAGAAGGCAAGAGACAGGCGGGGTCAAACCCGAAAGCGATCTTGCAAACGTTATCAAAAGCGAACCTTTGAAGAATATCTTGCAAGTCAAGCAAGGTCTGGTCAGAAGCAGCAGCAGAAAGTATCGGAATCAAACGGTCATGAAGCTCGGTATCAACAACAGTCTGTACAAATTTACGAAGAGATTTGGTGTTGAACTCGTGACTAGAAACTTGTCTCTGTAACTTCCAAGACCCCCCATCAACGTTAAAGATGCCATTGCCAAGAAAATCGAAGAGACTGCTTGTAAAATGAGGGCCTTTTTGGTAGTTGAAGAAGTGGGTCTTGAGCATGTGCTGGACGTTGGGAGGGTTTGCAGTAAAGATCTGGCGAAAACCAAATAAGTGGTGGAGAGTGAAAGTTGCAGAGGGAGAGCTCTGGAGGATACGTGTAGTCCATTGCAAGCGATTGTTTCGATTGGATTTGATGGCGAAATAGGAGCCGATTATTGGATAAGACTTGGGGAAAACAATGGATTGAGATGGTGCTGTCGATAATTTCTTGGATTTGGAGGTTTTGGTGATGATTAAGAAGAAAAATGGGAGAGTGAGGAGGAACAATATTGAGAGCAATATCTGAATAAACATCCTTCTATATCTCATACGCTCTTGTAAAAGTTTATATTCTTTCATGAATTTGGGAGCAGTTTATATATATAGTTGTCAAAAACAGATTTGCCTGGAAGACAAGTATAAAATATTTAAATTCTAGAACCATTACTAATTTTCTTAAGTTCAGACTCTTTTTTTTTTAGCAGGAGAAGGGTAAGGGATAACGAAATATGTAAGAGAAATCAAGATAAAGTTGTCATGTAAGTGAAAGCTCAGGACTCTTGAAAAAATGAAAAAAAAAAAAAAAAAACGGAAGGTGTAAAAAGCTCTTAATTATACTTAATTATTTTTTATAGTAATCAATTAATTTTTAATATTTATTTTATCTAATTAAGTTTTTATTTTTTGAAAATTAATATAATTAATTTTTTAATTAAAATAATTTTTCATATAATATTAAAAATAAATAAAAATTTACAACCTAATTCAATTAATATATATAAAAGTTTAAAAAATTAAGAAAATAAATTTTATATTTCTTTCTTCTTGCCTCTTTTTAATTATCTTTTAAAAATTCAATTGATCATAATTTAAAAATTAATTAATTTAATTTTATAACATAATTAAATTTCGTTCAATTAAAAATTTTATTAAATCAAAATAAAAAATAAAAAATTTAATTAATTATAATAAAATTTTAAAATTTTAAATAATTATTAAATTATAATTCAAGCATATTTTTTATTTCTAATAAAAAAAAATCAAAAGATAAGGGGCAAAACGATAGGTCCGCAACAGACCCTCCAAGTAATCAATTCTGGTCCAAATTTTATCCTCTTTCAATTGGACCAGCCACTTTAAACTAATCACATTGGATAATAAAAAATTAACAGGCTTTATGTAGCCCCTTGTCTATAGGGTGCCACTGCTACAGATGGGACCATCCTGTTGGACTACTATATTAATTCTTGCTCAAGGTTAAAAAGTCTTTCTTTTCCAAGATTCTCCTTGATCTTCAGTTACTTTCCCCCATTACAACACTACGTCTCAAGGCACAAGTGTGAACAAATCAAAAATCATCTTATCCTTCAATTCCCGTCTCACTGTTTCCTCTGAATTCATTCTTATCATCCAACCGGGTGAGAGACGGCATTTATGTTAGAACGTAAGCAGAGACGTCACGTAATCAAACTGCCAAATAATCAATAACACCCAAATTTCTTAAAATGGGAATGGAGATACACTGCTAAAATAGGCAAAATGAAATATTTATTTTCTCTTTGCTTATCTTTATCAGGAACAAAAATGGTATGGCACCAAGTGGCTGAAAAATAATACAACCTCCTTCAACTATTTATATCTGGGAAGAATCTTCTTAATATACAATTGAAGTAGGATTTTCTACCATCAAGTGTGAATAAACCAAAAAGAACTTTGGAAGTAAATAAAACTAAATGAATCACCCACTTTACAATATAGTCACATAGTGCTCCAAAGAAATACCACAAATGTAACCCCTGCCAAGTGCCAACCAATAAAAATAAATAAAACCCACCAAGAGAGAAAACGAACAATGAAGTAATTACTTTTTACAGTTTTACTCCCATAGCTGATTACATGAGGTGGTGCCTAGTATGTAAAACATGATCTTCATAATTTACAGTTTCGTGGTAAGCTGAGAGATACTAGTTTTGACTCCCGCCATCTTTATATCACATTTCACGTTGACATACTTTGCTTTGGCTTCCGGCTTGTTACCCTCAATCTGGCTCAATCTGGTAATAGGATGTATATGAAATATATATATACACGGAATGATGAGTACAGGACTAAAGCTTTAGGATGTCACAGAGAAATTTTGATAAATGCCAAAAAAATACAGGGTAAACTAAAATAGAGTCAAGGCATGAAACTGTCATTAAAGAATTCAACAACTTGAGGGAGGAGTAATGTGATCAATGCTAGTAACTTCATTTTTGTTACATAATCACTTGCAGAATCTCTGAAGTCAAAACAGACTTGGAAAATATTGTGAACATCTGATGCACATTCAGACATGATAATACAAATCCTAGTACCCTACTTTCTTACAGATGGTAAATCGGATATAGAGGGAGTCACTTCTAGTCATCTGTCAGATACCTATTTAAACTGCTTCCTATCTTCTATTCTCAATCCTGCAATAATCAAATTCCACATATTTGGCATTATTCTTTCTTAACCTGATTATTTATGCTGATTCACGACCATATGGCGCTTGATTTTACAGAAGCAAAAATAAACGATCAGCTTGAGCTGATAGCAATTTACATGAAACTAAACACACATGCAGCATAGTTAATTCATTGAGAGACATAATAGAAATTTCCAGCAAATGTCAATCAAGACATGCAGACAAGTTTATACTGGGTGTGCAGAAGCTCCTCCAAGAGAAGACTATTTTTTGGGAGAAACATTTATATGTTAATATCTCATATAAAAGGATTGATTTTAATCGGACCTATATCTTTAACATGCTTACCTTTGTAATGATACACATAAAGCTCATGAAACAGACACGTTCCTACTCCTTATCCCAAGTTTCCTTAATTCTCGTAACTGATAAAGTATCTCTTGAATAAAAAGCAGCCCCTCACTACCATTCTGAAGAGAATATAGAGAATGCTCAAGAAAATTACAATCAGCCTCAAGTGCTTCCAACCTTTCATTAAGGTCTGAAATTTCACTTTCAAGAGCAGCCAAACCAGTTTCTCTACAATCCACAGAACCCTTCTGCTCATTGGAAACCATATGACCGTTTGCCTTACTTATCACTTGATCTCTGCTTATTGAAGTACTCAACCTTTCCTGAGAAGGAGCACTTCCATTAGACATTGATGAAGCTTTCTGTACAGACAAATCATTACCTTCCACCTGACACATTACTTGTTTATCCCTTTTATCAAGGAAGTCTAGCTGATGTTGGCCTCCATCTGCTGCTTCATCAAAGTATTCACCATCAGAAATGTATGGCGAAGTCCCATGATGAGCAAGCCTGTTAAGCTCCCTCTCCAAATTTTGCAGACATTGAGAGATATACAACTTCTCACCTTCAATTTCCGACCATGCAGATATGATTACAGGATTATCGTTGACTTCAGAAGCCTCAGGAAACATTGTTTTCGAGGGAAAATTTATATCATCTTTTATGGAGGATGTGCTAGTGTTCTTCACAGAAACATATTCCTTCTTTAATATGATGCTTGCATCAGGTACAGTCTCTACCAGTATTTCATCTGGGAAGTTTAATCTGTAATATTCAAGCTCTGCTTCCAGATCTTGTAGTTCTTTCTCCTTTTCTGCCAGAAGATCATTAGCTTTCTCCAAGGCATCTACATCGTATTCTGCCTGCTCTTCCATCATCCTTAGGTACTGCAGGGCCTCCATGTGGAGGGCAGCCTTCTCTTCTTGCAACCTTGTAATCATAGCCATTGCCTGATTTGCAGCAATTGCAGAAGCACTTCTTTCTTCCTCTAATTCCTTATATAATGCATTCATGCACTTCTGATCATACTCAACTTGCTGCTTCAGCCTATCAACTAGATTTTCACCTTCAATTTCATCAACGCTGCTTCCATCCAAAGATTCGAGGCCAGTAGATTCACTTCTTTCCATAAAGACTAGGTTCTGAAGATTCTGAACCTCACCAGAATTGGATTCATTAGTTCTCGGCAATTCAGTGCTATGACCTCGTAACTTAGGACTTAAATTGTTAGGTGATAAAAGAATCCCTTGTCCAAAAGAATTCTGCACCGGCAATGAGTTAAGAAATTCATTAACTCCATTATCGTATGCCAGCATAGGTTGTTTTGTAACACAACCAGAAGTGTTTTTTTCTTCGCCACAGACTGGTAACTTATGCTCAGCACTCAGATCCCCATCAGTTGAATTTACCACGGCAGGATCATCTTCAACTTGATCAGTTTTGAAACCAGCTGCAGTTGATGTGCTTATCAACTTTGAGATTTCATCATTCTTGGTAATAGAAATATTTTCACTTTTACTTTCTTCAGAAACATCTGCCACTGGAAACCATATCAGATATTAAGTCATATAAGATATGACCTACACAAACATACATACAGACAGAGAGAGAGAGAGAGAGAGAGAGATCTTACACTTTTCTGACAACGGTTCAAGAGGAACATCCTTAACGTCAACTGAAGGGGGAGTATCAACCAGAGAAATAAGATCAGAGAGTAATGAAGCACTGAAGCTTGAAACTTCAACAACACTGGATGATGGAGGAATATCATCTAGAGAAACAAGCTCAGGCAGTACAGAAGGATTGGTTTTCAGATCAGCCAGCTGCCCTTTACGCTCACAGACATCATTCTCACTGGGGAGATAAGGAGCCAAACATTTAGCATCACAGGTTTCACTAGCATCAGGCTGTTTTGTTGTAGCCAACTTGTTGAACAGTCTTTTAGATGGAGCTTCAGGAGCAGCATGAACTATAGATTCTTTTTTATTCTCATTCATATCATGAACTATACTATTGTCATGCTCATCATCAGAATATGGAACCTCAGACTCTGATTCAGAAGTGACCTTCAGCTTTGTATATCCTACGTGAGACAAGGGATCAAATCCAGTTTTTCCAAGAAGATGAGATGCTGCTGGTGGAGAAAATTCATCCCTTATCTTCTTCAAGCCATTTTGACAGCTTAAGTGATGTGGCACAGGAATGTTTGGCTTCGCAACCACAATGCCAGGTGATTTTAGGGGAAGAAAATTATGGGCATTTGGTCTTGTAATCCAAGGTTTATTACAGCATAGACACAACCTTGTGCATTTAGAAGCAGCAGTTAGATCCCTGTTGAAAAATGAGCTCTGGGAACCGCAATTTTCAAAACCTGCAGGCTCAAACCCCAATTTTCTTAAAAGAAGCCTCTGCATATCTGAATTGGATTTGTTCTCCTCAACATGTGATGTGAGACAATGCTCGCACATACCATGGCCATCAACAAGCTTGCCATGAATGTTGCAGGAAATCAATGACGAAATCTCTGATCTATGATTGCTGCAAAGTAGATTCCAATAAAATCCAGGTTTTTCGTTTCCGAAAACATGATCAAGCCTAGAGCATAAAATGCAAGGTATTTTCAATTCACAGTAATGTGCAAATCTAGTCAGCAGGTATGATAAGGCAGCATCAATAAACAGCAGAAAGATCAGAAACCATTCACAAGCAGCAGACTTTAGGACTGTTGTAAACCCCTTCAAATTCTTTTGTACATTGGGAAGTGAAGTACCATTTGTAGCCATTTCCACAACAAATGCTCTAGGATACCATAAGGTTCAGAACTGGATGAATACCAGAAAGCCTTAATTGATGTATAAAGTAGTTCCTAACCTTGCAATACGAAGCTGAGAATCCCATCCCCAATTCAATGAGGTAAGCTTCCATTACACGGATAAAAGAAACAATCAATCAAGTCAGCAGTTGCCCACATGAAAATAAATAAATGCAGAGCTAAGCAACTTTCTAAGCTATCAAAAATGGACAAGGCATTAAAATAATAATAATAAAACACACATGCACGTACTCACACGCAAAAAGACCATCACCAAGACAGTGTTTTTCTCTTATATTCATTTGAACCCGAATAAAGATAACTATAACTTAAAAAAAAAAAAACCATTCTGAAAATGTAAGAATTTGCAACCAGAGCAAACCCTCCTAGACAATAGCAATTAAGTGAAATTCTTAAAAACCTTTAAAGGGTTAAGAAAGAAAATAACATACTTTAAGGGCCAAACAAAAATGTGAATTTCTTGATAACAAATAATTAAAGCGGACATATTGGTAGTTTAGAATTGAATCAGACAGGGAACGGTGACCAACCCAAATGTGCAACCAACAATGACAGCTTTTCAATTAAATCAAAATCAGAGACCTAAGACCTAACCCATTAATGTAATAAACAAAACCCACATGGAATGAAAGAAAACCCAATTATCAGATCCATCGACACAGCCAAAACAAGATCTTGAAAAGCCTTACAATCGATCAACCAACATTAAGAACAACTCTCAAAATGCAGTTCCAAATATTGGGTTCATGTTGAAAGTTTGAATTCAATACAAAAATATACAAATTTATGCATTTTGATTAAAAGAAGATTAGAAGAGAAAGAATACCTTAGGTGAATTGAGATAAAACGATGATAATGAAGAAGAAGAAGAAGAAGACAAAAGAGAAAACGGAAACTACTTTTGTCCGGGAAAGGAAGAGACCGTTGAAACGAACAGTTGAGATTTGTTTTGGCTGCCAACTAACGGAAAGCTTTAAAATTTTACATTTTGATTTTGATCATTATAAGATTTCGCCCAATCATACAAACAAAACCAAAACTCTTTGCTTGTTTTCATATTTTTGTTTTTCGCCTTTTCTTTCTTTCACTCTATTTTTGCAATGGAGGTTGAAGTTATACGTACAGGTACTACATATTTTTAGCATCAAATTTCAGAATTCGTTAATAAGCTAACATGAAAATTTGTTGCAAAATTTTAAAATTACTAGTCTTTTGCACATCATGTGAGTGAAATAATAAATTATTTATTATTAAAAAAACAAGTTAAAAAAGCAAAGAAAAATTTTAAAATTTATAATTATTTAAACATGAAGGAGAAGAACAAATGAATAAATGTACTTATTTAGAAGTGAGAAAAAATATTATTAAAAAAATGAGAAAAAAAAAAAAAGGACTACAATAAAAACTTAATATTTAAATCCAATTTCTATTTTTGAGGGAAATTAAAAAATTAAAATACACCTAAAATTATGTTTCTTCTATTTTATAATGTGGTGTTTGAGTAATTTTTTAACTGAGTTGATCAAACTCAATCAAAGATTTTATTAATAGTATAAATAATTATATTGTTGTGACATTCAACTAAAAACTAAAATAATCCAATTTCATAAAAAAAAAAAAAAAAACTAGTATTAAATTCTTGTTCTCTACCCATTAACTAATCATTTATAAAAAAAAATAAAAAAAGGAATTTTTTATATTTATCCTTATGAAATTTACTGCAATGCTTACTTAGAACTAATTTAGAGGATTAAGAATACAATAATGAAGTGCTCAATGCTAACCTAGGAAAATATGTGTAGTTTTCTTTTCATATTCATGTTATTTCGGATACAATTTGAATTGTTAAAATTTTAGAAACATCCAATGTAGGAGTTTAGGGTACGAGCCCTAATCATAGTTTGGAAATAAAAAATTAAAAATAAAATTCGTGAATTAATTAAGCAAAACAATCACCTTTGATTATTTTTAAAAAGTATGTTAAAATATTAAAAAGTCTTTGAATTATTTTATTTTATTAAAAAATCTTTATACTTTGATTGTATTTATATAAATTTTTATTTTTTAATTTATATTCAAATAAAATTTTATTTTAGATAAAAAATTAATTTATATTAAAAATTTATTTTGAATACAAATAAAACATTAAAATTTTATTTGAACAAAATGATAAAATTCAAATTTTTTTTTACAAGAAAATTTGGAATATTGAATTTGGACGAGGCCCCCCACTGCCCCACAGATTAAGACGTACACTGGCTCACCCAGCGAGTGCAATGTGGGCCACCAACCTAATCATGGGCATCGCCCATACTCCCCTTCCAAGTAAGTTTCACCGTTCTCCCTCAGCTTCCTTTCATAAGCGCTTTGCATGGGACAAATATCTGAAAAACAATAAACCCAAAATGCCTCAGTGAAGAACGATGGAAATTTTGCTGTTTATGTGTTTCCGAGACTCGTCAATTGCTAGTTAAGACTTGTGGGTTTGTTTCCTAATGAAGGCCTTCTGGCGATCATTTGCTGTAAGATTAAGGCTTTTGTGCTTTACATGGCTTTAACCGGTTTCATTTATAGCGTCATTTCTTGTTCAGAATGTGAGTGTTGTTTTTGGGTTGATTCAAAACAATGGGTTTTTTTTTTTTTTTGACAGAGGCTTGGGGATGTTAGGAGTTATTCAGTGTTAAACAATGATCAGCCGAGAATTAATGGCGTTAAAGAAGTGATTGCCGTCGCTTCTGGTAAAGGCGGTGTTGGCAAGTCTACCGCTGCAGGTAATCTATTCTTTTCAGATTCATGAGGTACCAATATCATTTTCTAGGGATGTCCATTCATGTTAGTTGAATTTTGCAATCTTTGCGGTTAATTTGTCAGTTACACTAGCTAACAAGTGTCGATTGAAGGTGGGCTTGCTTGATGCTGATGTGCATGGACCATCTGTTCCAACCATGATGAACATCCACCAAAAGCCAGAAGTTACTAGAGGTAATATTTCTATCTTCCAAGACATAGACTTTTAGTAAATGGTGGAAAATGTTCTACTTGTATATCAATTAATTATCCATTACTTACAACAGGTATGAAGTAAATAAAGTGTTATCGCATATGGTGCTTTAATGTGTTTTATTTCAGCTTTCAGTTATATATGAAATCTTATATAGCAGGTTGAGTCTTCTGTGATCAACTAGCATATGGTTGAAGTTCATTTTGTATATTTGTATATTTAGTTTCATAAGCACGGGATGGATGCATGCTTGAGTCACGAATATGGTCTTTATACAACCTCATAAAAAGGCATTAACAGCAGAATTTTAGCTTGATGAATTTACTCCTATCTCACTCTCACTTCCCACCCAGCACTTAATTTGAAGATTGAGTTCATCTTATTGAAACTTTCTTTACTAGTGCTTTTTATCAGTAACTATTATTTAGTAAACACCTCTTGGAATTGCAGCTGATAAAGAATTGGTGCTACATGTTCATGCAAGCTTTTCTGCCTATTGTTGTACTGAACAATTTACAGTCATTTCTTTCTTCTTTCACGAGCAATGTTTTTAATGCTCTCTCCCTTTTTCACAGATATGAAGATGATTCCCGTTGAGAACTATGAAGTGAAGTGTATGTCACTGGGATTGCTGGTGGATAGGGATGCACAAATTGTGTGGAGAGGCCCCATCGTATTTTTCCTTATCTAAGTTCTCTGTTCTAATTCTAGCCTAAAAAAAAAAGTTCTGTTCTAATTTTTCTTTCATTTGTGCTGGAACATGCATCTCTTTTGTAATAGTTTCTGTTTAGAAAGTGGTTTTCATTCTAAGAATCCATTGTCCATCTATGTCACCTTAAATTTTGTTGGCTTTTAAGTTTCAAATTCAACCTTAGTTGATTTGAGTTCCCTCTTTTATTTACCTAGATACCATAGAGTAAATTGCAGTAGCTTCTTTTGAGAGATTTTGCTGTAACTTGAAATTTGTGTCTCGATCCTTTGCCTTTCACATTTCTTGTTACTAGTAACATCTGCAACCCATAACCAAAAAAAGGAAAATCTACAATGCACGTAGTTTGTATTATCAGTCTAAATTTAATTTACATTTTATAATTGCTTAAGTTTCTTTCAGGTGATGAGTGCTCTTCAGAAAATGTCAAGGGAAGTAAATTGGGGAGGTCTTGATATTCTTGAGGTGGATATCCCCCCTGGCACAGGTGATGCACAACTAACTATGTCCCAGAAGCTTCATTTGTCAGGTAGATAATTTACCCTTTTTTGTTTTCTTTCTCTTTTTTTTCCTCTTTTGGGACAAGGTTGTTTGGCGTGATACTTGAAAACTGGCATCTTATCAAGATCAACATGTCCTTGGACTTTTCATAAAATAAAGTAGCTCTGGCTACATAGGTGTTCCACTTGCATAGTAGTCTTACTGTGCTCTGTCTTTCATACCTCATTAAGATCACTCAGATCATTGTGCCTATATTATTCTTTTTAGTTTATTTCCTCGATAAAGTTGGAATCATTTTGACATCACAATAACTTGAATGACAAAAAGTTACTATGTTACTTTTGGGCATCATCTTTTCCCGATTCTTTCCCGTGGGGATAAGAAGGCGGGTGGGGATATTGAAGGCTAAAATATGATTTCTTTTATTTTCTAAGGTCTAGCTTCAGAAGGGTAACTATATCATAATTAACCCCTCCTCCAAACTTCCTTTCCATTCCAGCTGGCCAACATCAGCATTCCCAAAGGGGGAAAAAGAAAGGAAATGAAGAAAAACATTTCTTCACTTTCCTTTTCAGATATGTTCTTTCAATTCTAAAACTTACGTATGATGGTTTCTTACCATTGTTGGTGTTTTTAGGTGCTTTAATAGTTTCAACCCCACAAGATGTTGCATTGATTGATGCTCATAGAGGAGTTAGAATGTTCTCTAAAGTTCAAGTTCCTGTAAGTCGTAATTCTGCATGTATTTTCGTATCATGCCCGCTAAGCTTGTTGAAAATTTGGTATTGTTGTTCAGGTTTTTTTTTTTTCTTTTTTTAATATATGATTGTCCTCAACTGCATGTGATATTGCGTAATTAGAATTTCAGTTAAGCTTTCCCTCTGGAGTTAACAAAATTTAACAATTATTACTTAGTAGTTTAAGTTATAAATCTGCATCTGGGTTAGAAGCGTCTTTGCCTACAGTGAAAGATTGTGGTTTTATGAAATTCTTTCTGGCATGAGTATCAGGAAAAAAACTGCTTCAAAACAGGCCATGACTGCATTAAATATATCTGCTAAGCTTTTTGGGCATGTGGATGTTGTTGTTGCATGTGCCCCTTTCAAAGAACTTCCTCTCGGTGCACTGTAATATTTTTGTGTATTACTAGAAATTGTAGTGGTAACTCTGCCCTACCTACTTTCCAAGAGTTCAATTTGTTCTCTCTCTCTCTCTCTCTCTCTCTATGGTTTTGAAGTTCTGACTGCTTTTATAGATTTTGCGATTAATAGAGAACATGAGCTACTTCAAGTGTCCACACTGTGGTGAACCTTCGTTCATTTTTGGAGAGGATGGAGCTCAAAAAACAGCTGCTGAGATGGGTTTGCAACTTGTTGGTGAGGTAAGTTGTTGATTTGTGATTGTTCTGCAATGAAATAAATAATTGTCAATTTGTCATAGCTGGTAACCATGATGAGTAGTTCATATGTTTTGTGCTCATGATTAGTTAAATGTTCCCAGCAACAAATTCTTCTTCCCTCTTCAGGGTTATTAGAAGAGGCTGGTAATTAATGATGATGTGAAACTTTATTTGTCAATGGATGAAAATCAGACCACAACAGTTAACAGAGGGATTTATTATTGCTTTGTTCACTAATAATTTGAGGAAAGAAGACAATTTTGTGCCTTTTACTTGCTTGTAGTTGGTTGAGGACTTTCGGCCTTCTTGATAGCTAAATGTATTTTGTAAAGTAGCTGCTCATATATTCAAAGCTGCGATTATATATGATCTGTTACTGTCTCAGATACCTATTGAAGTTGACACTAGGAAAAGTTGTGACGAAGGCATCCCAATAGTAGTATCAGCACCTGATTCAGTTGTCTCCAAAGCTTACCATTATGTAGCTCAAAATGTTGTCATGAGACTTAAGGTGTTGGCAAAGGGATGAAAACTACCTCAAGAGGCCGACCAGCAGAGTTTACTTAGTTAAACCACCTCCATTCCCATGGTTTCTTGGCTATGGTTACTTGGCGGTGCTTTTGAGGTTCATCTAGACATCAAGAATTTCAGTTTGAGCTATTTGGATAATGAGATGACTATCAAGTGTATGGAAGCATACTGATTAGGAAACTAGTTTTTGATGAATTACACTCTCAGAACAGTTTAGTTCTTCCTCAAGCTTCTCGGGATGGAAATGTTAAGCTCTTGATCTGTACAGTTTCATCTGGCCTGGCTTTTCATGTGTCCTTTTCTTCATAGTTTCCTGCAGTTTACTATTTTGAGACTAGCTGACACTAAAATGATTTACAGCTTTGAAATTAATCTTAAGAACCTTACATTCAGAAGCATTGGTTGGGACTTGCAGTTTTTGCATACCTATGTAAAGATATTCCCTTTGTCTATTTACATTTTTTTTTTTCATTTTCTAATTTTCATGCAATCTCGAAAAGATTGCTTCCTCAGACAGGTACCAGTTGTCTTTAGTGTTTATGTTGTGATTGCAGTGTAATTTCAACCAAAATCAATGAAAGAAAAAAAGGGATTTTTCAATATTAAATTTATGAAAGTTGTGATTTTGCTAATAATTCCATTTGATATGATGAACCACATACAATTTTTCCTAATAATAAATCTATAAAAGAATATAATGAGATGGTCATTCAGTTTTGTTTTCCCCTTTCATGTGAAAATGGAGTGCTTAAACATTTGCATAAGAAACTGTGGAAGACAATAGACTTTGAACTGGTATGAAACATTCCACCATTTCCATCACTGCTAATAATTTAAAAGATTTAGTGATAATCTTAATTTTGAAAGTTTTATACTGTTCAAAATTTAGAGAAAAGGGTAATGCTATAATTTTTTTTCTTTTTTGGGTTTTGAAAAGGCTTGTCATTCTTCATACAATATCGCGCCATGCAATTTTCTAAATATTAGTGCAATTTATTTATTTTTATTTTTATAACATGACTAAAGATATTTCGAGTTTTGTTTAGGTTTAATTTATTCTTAAAATGATTTTAAAGGCCCACTTGCTTACGTCAACAAGATTCTTTAAAAAAAAATCATTTGATTCTAGTGGGGATTACTTATCTTGGTCATCAACAAGCCTCAGTTCAGTGGGTTGCAGATGCTGTAGCAGAACGCCTCAAGGAAAATCCTCATTATAAACCCAAGGAGATATTGGAAGAGATTCACCGTGTGCAAGGGATCACTTTGTAATGCAAGCAACCATGGAGGGGTAAGGAACACATCATGGCCAGTGTGCGTGGATCTTTTGAGGAAGATTGTCGCCTTCTTCCGCAGTATTGTGATACGATCAGAAGAACAAATCCAGGAAGTATGGATCTGGTATATGGGGAAACTTGCTTTTTGCCTGTAGTTTTGATGGAGATGGTGCTGCGTTCCTCTTGCATTTGGGGTGGTAGATGAGGAAAATGAAGCCAACTGGATGTGGTTCCTCTCTGAATTGCACTATCTGCTTGAGATTAATGCAGAGAACATGCCAAGACTGGTGTTGTAGATGCTGTAGAAGCAAACTTCCCAACAGCTTTTCATGGGTTCTGCATGCATCATCTCATTGACAGTTTCCAGAAGGAGTTCAATAGTTCCAAGCTTATCAACCTTTTCTGGGAAGCTGCTTGTGTGCCCACTGGCACTGATTTTGAAAAAAAACTCATTGAGATTCAAGAAATCTCACCAGAAGCTGCTACTTGGATTCAAAATATTCCTCCTCGCTTTTGGGCCACAGCACATTTTGAAGGGACAAGGCTGGGACATCTGAAGGCTAATATAGTGGAATGGTTGAATTCTTGTATATCAGAAGCGTCTGGCCTGCCAATAATTCAAATGATGGAGTGCATCCATCGGCAACTTATGACTTGTTTCAATGAGTGTCGTGAAACAAGAATGCAGTGGACAGGCATTCTTGTTCCTCCTGCAGAAAGACTTCTAATGGAGGCTGTTGAGCGTGCTTGTACTTACCAAGTGTTCAAAGCAGGCGAAGCCCGATCCGAAGTTCAATCCCATGCTGAAGGAGCATTTCTAAATAGATATTCGTATCCGAAGCTGTTATTGTTGTGGATGGGAGCTGCGTGGGCTCCCCTGTGCTCATGATGTAGTTGCTCTCCTCTCTTGTAGACAAAATGTGCATAGGTTTTCAGAAAGTTGTTTCCCTATGGCAAGCTACCGTAAGGCCTATTCGCAGACTATACACCCGGTTCCTGATACAGCCCTTTGGAAAGAGATGTCTGAGCAATTTTCAAATGAAGGAGATAAAGAGACAATGAGGCCATTATAAAGCCACCCAAGATGCTTCAGTCGCCAGGGAGACCTAGGAAGAGGCGAGCTCGTGCAGAGAATGCTGTTGGGGCAAAACGGGTGGTGCATTGCAGTCGTTGCCATCAGACAGGTCATTTCAGAACTACATGTACAGCACCTATATAGAAACTGATTTTTCAACTTTTTTATTATTTTACTGTGCAGACAGAAAAAATAGTTCTCTTCTTTCAAAATTTTTTAGAGCTTGTACTTTAGGAGACAGATAAAGTTTGTGTTTATACGTTTTCCCAGACAAGTGAATACCGTAGTTTTATTTGGAAAATTAGAGTTTCTTGTTTCAGGTTTTAAGTTAGGTTTCCAATCCTTTTAAGCTATCAGCTCCGGATGATATTGGTCAAAACTAGATGTTTTGAAACAGAGTGCTCTAATTGCTTTGTATTCCTCTCAAAGACAGTTAACAAGCTTGAATCTCAAATCTCCCAATGTCTAAAGCTAACAAATTCAACTTAAGTCCTTACATCTTATTTAGTGAAAGAAATCCTCGAATTAAATTAACTAATATGAGATTGATCACTGAACCAACAATTTAAATGTATAACTGGGACCAACCTTTTAACTAAACGGCAAAAACAATCTAAATTCTGCAGATACAAAACATAAGATCTGTAGGAAAAGCCCCAGACAACATTTATTGTTTTACCCTAAAAATTCAATAAAGCAACAGCAAGCAGGTTGGAATTGGAAATGAGGGCTACCTGAACTGGGGAGTCAACAAAATTAAATTCACTCTTGTAGAATAATATTCTTACCTCAAACATGAAAGTAACACATTAAGGTCATATTTGATGCATATTTGATGCATAAAATTATTGATAGGATAGGATGATAATTATTTTATATCATATTAATTTGTATTTAAAAAGAAGAATAGGGATTGTAAGGAGGATTAATATCCTCTTAGCATAGGAATATTCAATCATTCCCAAGTAAAGAGAATTATTTTCAATCCATGAGATTAACTTATATGTTCAATTATATCTTTAAAAATTATATCAATAATTTAAATTGTATAAACTTTGATGAAAGATAATTTTAACAAATAAATAAATTATCCTATCTTAATCCTTGTATACATCAAACACAAAATAAAATTATTTTATTTTATTTTATTCATAATATCATTTTATCTTATCATATCGTGTACCAAATATTACGTAAATGTATAATTAATGGTAAAACTAACTTCATTGCTATGATATAACTTTCAAATTATGCAGAATATCTATATATATATATATATATATAAATTCTAACAGGTGAGGCTAATGATGGAGAATATTCAGAAAGCTGAGGGAGAAGGGAACATTTTACCATCTATAGTTACTTGTACCTCCTTACTCCTTGCTATACTTGATGATTTTACGATGGCCAAAAGACTGAAAAAGGTGTGTTGAGCTGAGCTGACACTAACAGATTTTATTCTACTCTCTGTTAGCTTCCAAAATGCTTTATGCCCTCAATTCTCTTGTTTGCTTCACTTGCTTATACAACCACCAGCACCCCTTCCAATTGAGATGTGGCACTGACTCAGCTCCTAGTCCTTCCTCTCCTTTTATTCTCTTTGATGGCTTTGCTTTTAATGTATTCTATACTTTTATGGTACTGTTTTTTGGTGGCTAACAAAGAAACCCATCAATTTGCCTAGCCACCACATAGTAATCTCTAAATACATAAAATACAAATGTAAATCCCTGACCATCTAGCTTACTTTTGATTCATTTAATTAATCTAAAATCTAGTTCTAGTACTATTAGTTTCTAGGGATTATGTAATGGTTCAACAAAATAAATAAACCTGATAGTATTACGGTTTCTGATAAAAACCATGTGGTAAAACTGATCTTACATCAATGCCAGTAGATTATACTTCCGTGAATTTGGCTTGTAAAGATGTCTGATCTGTCGCAAACCGAATTCAAGGAAGTCCACGACATCTCAACAGATAGAATCATGTTACTGCTTGGATGGACAAATAGAGGATGTACAAAACCAGTGAGGAAACTGATCAGCAGCCATCTCTTTTTTTTTTTTTCCAATTAGAGAGGAAAAGCTAGCTTACTAGCTAGTAGCTACTTAGCCGTTTCCTATTTAGAATAACAAGCATTTGTTTCCCTAGCTAAGCCCTGTTGCAAGAAAGTTGTGCGCTGGATAACATGATGCATGAGGAAATTTCAAAGTTTGTTTTAATGCTTCTCTGTATAACATTTCCGATCCCCAGAATTCAGGAATCTATCGGGTAAGATAGGCTGGATGTCATTGACAGCTTCAATACTAGTTTATTATTGAAAAATATGCACATCATCTCATGTCTAATCACATGAACTTTACAATCTTTACAGTTTCTGCATAATTTCTTTCCTTATTAAGACAATAAAGCCCCAAGAATGCTATTTCACCAATTGGTTTGTTAAAGCTACGTTGATCCTATGTATATAACTTTTGTAAAGACATGACATGAGTAAAAAAACCATATCTGAATGGAAGAGAAAGAGATCGATTACGTTATTTCTGAACGATGAAAGCCACTATATATATAAGAAGATCTGCAATGAAAAAGAAAAAAAACAAAACAAAACAAAAGATGCTCATAATTTGGAATTTGACAGGTACGGATACTTTATGAAATCTCATTGATTATAAAGCTCAACTAAAAAAATATGCAGGAATGACAACACTTTTTGAGTAGAACATGCTTGAAATGTAGAAACTGAATACTACTCCAAAAGATTGGTTTGACTTTTAAGGCTATTTTTCTATATTATATAGTATGGGATGCATGATATATGTTTAATCTGCATACGGGTCATTCATGATGGTTCCCTTTGCTTTTGAGTTTAGTTGATTGGTGATAGAGACTAAAATCATCATGCAAGTTTTCTTCACGATATGCAGATTTCTGGGCCAAGCAGGGATTTGGCCCTATTACGGTGCTGTCCCTAGCAGATTCTTCAACTTTTCTTGATGTTATATGTATGGTGGAAATCCACACACACTGATGTCTACATGGGGTTTGAAAATACAGAGTTTCCTTAGCTGGATCTCATAATTGTTTACCTAATTGAATTGGCTTTGCTTTCTTATCTGATACCATCCCATCCATAATGTTACGTAGTTCACAATTCATTATGATGTTCCACTGTAAATTTAATCAAGTGTGCCTAATAGTCTTTAGTACATCAATTGATTACAAACAGC